CATCTCGATTATTCTCGACTATAGGTCAAAGAGAGACAAAAACAGAAGATTATTGATAAAATTCTTCTCAAAACCTCATGAGTTTCTCGAAACCTATTGAAAAAAGACTGAAGATTTGCAAGTGCTCAAAACAATGAATATATCAACTGAGCATTCTTACTGTATACTGATGTATACCGAGCATCTCTGGTTCATCTGAACTGTTTTTTAATGGAATGAAAAATGTAAATACAAAGTCCATTGTCCTACGTGATCATATTTGATAAAAAAAAAAGATTCCAGCACGTCTTTTCTGTTCACTCACGTGCTAACTTACTCATTTTGTTTATATGATGTTATTATCATATCTCTGGTATTTTTCTCCGACGTAAAATCTTTTTTTTATCTACCCGTTCTCAATAGTATAAATTCAGGGTGAATATGCATCTCCACAGCTCATTTTATTTTCATCATAGAAATAAGTATACGTCTCTTTCAACTAAATCCTATCTACGTTATGCATAATGATTACAAATATAACATAGTAAGTGCATTTATCTCAATATTTTTTTATTTGATGTGTAATGTAATGATCGATTTAATTGATGAGTTTAAGACTAAACATTATTAAGGTTAGATATTCTAATTGATAATCAGTTTGTTTTTCAATTATCATCAACGATTTCGGTTTATATTGAAACTCTGATATGTTAAATTAAAAAAAAATACGCACAAGCATTCTACTAATTTACTTTTTCATACCTCTGATTCAATATATATACTGCTCGTCTTCGCGTAATCACCAACATGATCCCGTATAGAATTTTCCAGTGTATTCAAAAATTCTATTGGTCAAAAGTGTATATCAAAGATATCTTTTATTGGCGAGTGAAGCAAGAGGAGAAAAACAAGTTAAAGCAAATCATTGACAGTAAATTAGCTATTTTAAATTATAGTTATCAAAGAAACCAGCACTATATATATCAGCTTTCATTGCATCATCATGACTAGGATAAATTTGAGAAAAAGTTTGTCAGCACGGATTCTCTGAAAATTCTATAACTGTACAAAAATGTCCATAACCAATGAGTCCTTAAGAGAGATAGAGTTTGGGTGGTGAAGTAAAAGATTTTCTCCATACGAAAGTAAAACAGTTGCTTCGGTCAGGTCAAGTCAATAACTAATAAGAGGTCAGATTTTAAAAGAAAAGTACTGGAAAGCGACGGACTTTGAAAGCAGTATCGCGACTGAGAATATTTCGGAATTTTTTCAGTGCTCTCCTCCTAGACCTGAACATTGCAAATCCATATTTGTTTTCGGTCGAGCAATACAAAACTTATAGATCGATTCACTCGGTATAAAATCATTATTAAGTCTGAAGTTCATATGCCAGTTACTGGCTATAGCTGATCTAGTAAAATTTATGAGCTAGCCGATAAACTACTACTTATCTAAAGTAACAATAATTAGTAAAGTTTGTTCAAATCTTGTTGGCATCTTTTCTTCCAGAAAGATTAGACAATGCTGAATTTTGATTGACTATAATAATATATTTAGCAGAATGAGACTGGTCAAAGTAATACTGTGCGAAAAATAGTGAACGATTCAAAAATGGTTTCTACGCTTATTCTTAAAAGTACTTTAGTTTTTTGAATTACAATTTTTCTGACTAGATTAGTTAAATCCTTTCTTTATTCATGATACAATAACTATTGAACTATTGGAGTCATATGAGACTCAAGCAATCAGCTATTCTGTTTTAGTTATACTCTGTTTTAACGAAGTTAATCTTTAATCAAGTGATCATCTTAAGAATAAATATAGTAGCACGCACTTGCAAAACGTGATGCCAACAAGATCATAACCATAAAATTATGTTATTCATCAGAAATGAAGATATAATACGTAGTCATGGCGAGATCTTATAGAAGCACTTAGTGGCGCCTATGACGAATACAAAAATCGATGTAATATCAAAGTTACAAATATCGTGATCACCTTTTACTATTTTAATTATTATCACTTCCCAGGAGAATGAATCCTAGCCTAGGATCTGATGAGTTCTGATCGGTTCCTATTGGAATCTGACGGAGGTCTTCGGAAGGCGCAAGGAAACTATCGGATTATTGTCGGATTCCTGGTTCCGGAATCGATATCGGATCCTAATATCGGAAACTAATAAAATCCGACAGTAACCGTCAATCGGAACCGGAATGCTTCGGATTTCATTGGTTCCGACAATCGGATATCATTGGAAATACGACTGTCGGATTCGACATTGATTCCTCAACCAGGAATCCAACGAAATTTCGTCGGATGGTAGGACCCCATGAATCCGATGGGATTCGGTATCGGATTGATTCACCCGGGTTTATGATTCTATTTTCATACATTCGAGAACGTATTTAAATCGTTCTCAGTGGTGACCCTGGACAGTAAAACAATGTCAGGTGAGAAAGATACAAGCAACGGTCTTAGTTTCAGAAATGTACCAAGAACCGAAATTTGAAGACTAAAATTCTATCAATATTTAGTATTGCACATGCACTAGTTGACTAACATACAATGGTACTATAATTTGGAAATAGGCTATTCAATACATGAAACCTATATATATATATGCAACAAAACTGTGTATAATTCATATCATATCATCGATTCGCGTCTCCACTTATTATCTGGATATGTTTTATTACAACATCTAAGCTTATATATGTATATATATACGATACGATGTCACTCTCTCAAGTCAAGCGAAAAAAACAAACTATCTAAAGATCTCATATGCAATGAAACAGTTAACTTAACTTGACTCTTTCGACTTTAAATAACTGTTTCTTCGTTATATGATAAACATAAACGTGCAACGAACAACCAACTTATTATACATATATAAGTCTATGAAAATACTGTCTTTAAAAGTATTAGGCAAATTTTATTCTTTTTACAAACTGAAAAGGATAGATTCCATTTGCTAACATATGATATAAGTTATTATTGAACTTCACAAAAGCCATTATTCACCACTGTTATTACTCGATCGACGAAAAAATGTTATCACACATCGCTGTATATCAGACGATGCATAGCCAAATATACGTCATTTATGTTCTATATGATTTAGGTTATGGCTTAAACATTACGTAGGCAATTCTAACTGGATCATAAACAGGCAAATTATCAAGAAAGCAGTTCAGCCTTTCTGCATTTAGAATAATCGATTGAATCTTGAAGCAGATCCGAACTATATGAACCTTAGAATTGGATCGTTCTTGGCAATAAATATAGTGTCTTTCAAAATTAATGTAAAGCTAAAAAAGTTCCTCAGTTGTTATTCCTTGTCAATCTTTAGCCTTTACGAAGCAGACATTTATACTTCTTTGACTAATGAATTACATAGAATGCTTATGTAAGTATTCATATCTATATTTTAATATTCATTTAATATGTTACAATATATTCTTATTTATTTAGCTGTGAAATCAGTAGATGATTCAAAATCAAACTATTTGTCATCAAAGCGAGTGCTCTATAACAAAGATACATCCTAAATGTTTGTTTATTTCTTTTTTTCGTAGGTATTAATATCGAATTATTATTTACCATTATTTCATTTAAAAATTCGTAGTTCCTTTGTCTCATTGTATTTTTAGAGGTATACCCAGGTGAATGAATCCGACAACGCACTTTATCGAATCCAATGGAATCCGACTTCCCGACAGAATTCGATAGGATTCCTAGCCACGAACCTATTGTCGGTTCCGACGGAAAAAATCATTTTCTTATTCACGATCAAATGAACATTTTTAGCCATCAGAGCGCAAGGGTGATTCGATAGAGTTGGATTCCGTTAAAATCCGACATGGGATCCGACTGTAGGTTCGTGTCCAGGAATCTCATAAGATTTCGTCGGTTTTATTGAAACACATATGGTATTCGGTATATTCACTGTCTGACCCTTGTCGGAATCCGATAGGATCCTACTGTCGGAATGATTCTCCTGGGTATATTTCTGAAGAAAATCCTACTCCATATCACCGGTCAACTGCAACATACTTCAGAAGAATAAATATAGAAAAAGCAACAATAATTCTTTTGAAATTAACGAACAAAATGTGTTATTCTATTATATAAATAATTAACAGATTACATAGATACACAAATAATTTCGAATAATCTTTTAAATGACATATAAAATAAAATAAATTTGTTTATACTCTAGATATAAAGATCATTTCAGTGCTGTATGTGCTCAATCAATATCATGGCAATTTGCATCGCCAGGCTATCACAAAGGGCAAATCAAGCTACTAGGATCAAGGAAATCCCTCTCATTCTATGTAATGTATTCTACTTGCGAAAATATTCATATTTATTTGTTTTTTCTCTCTTTAGAACCAATTAACATAAAATTTCAGCAATATATCGGAAAATAAAATTTTAATTTAATTGTAAGCATAAACTATTCGTTTCAAATACTTTTTTTAAAATATGATGATAAAACAACAAGAAATCAATGAGAAATGTTTTTCTATTGAAGACAATGGCAGAGATCATGATAGAAAGAGACGGTTGTTAATATGATTTAAATGTTGAATTTTTCATCTTGCCGTAACTGCTATATCAATTCTTTTTTTTTTTAATGGTATATTTCTCTTCTATTCAGACGACCAACAAAACGTGACCATATATAATCATGTTCTCTTCTCTCCCAGACGAAATTCAAACACACTCATATTTAGTAATAGGAAAAAGGAAAAGAAAAGAAAGAGAAGGAATATGAAGATAGAAACTGCATGTACACATCTTCTTTTGTCCATATCGACGAAGCGAAATTTAACAAATGAACTGAAACGAGCTATTTGTCTCATTCTGTACTTGTTATCCGATGATATACACATAGATTCTGTTAATTGATTAATCTATTCAAATATTTTCTCTTCAAGAGAAAAATTGTGCATCCATAAACATAAATTATACTGAAACGAACTTGGAAAAAAAATTCACAACTTATTATATGAATGGCGGACGACGAATCACCACTTGTTCGAGACATCTTAATTAGTACGGCCCTAATGCACGATATCAATGATGATAGCTTGGATCATGTCGATATGTTGGATACTGAAAGTAAGCTTTTACAAGAATTTCATGACAAATATACGTATATATTTATCATATAGTTGTAAGCGATGAAGAGGCTATCGTTTCACCATTTGATTTATTTTCAATGAACTATAATACTAAAGAAGAGGAAATATTAGTAGAATCATTGTCAACTGATCAATTTTTATCAGATTCTAGCTTTGATTTTCAGCCACGTAAGTTAAATTCAACATATGCATCGAAAATATTGATTTCACTTTTCTACAAACTATTTCAGTTTCTCCTATTCAATCATCGTCTCCATCGATCTTTACTAATTGTTCAGAACATATTGTTTCTAGCTATACTGTAAATTTATTTCAATTATCAATATTTATAATTCTAATGAAATTCTTTTGTTTAGCCTTCAATTGATTCTGATTATGAACCCTTTTTTTCATTATCATTTAGCAATCCTCCCGAACCCATCTATCATGTACGCTACTTAAGTGAAATTACAAATTCACCACTCGATGGTAACATAGTCAATACGAAGAAGAAAACGAAAAAGAACGTTTCTGGACGATATTTAAAAGGAACACATGGTCGACATGTTACTATCGATGTAAGTCATAAAGAGAAATAATCGCACATATATGTGTGTACGTAAGCTCTATGTCGTCTTCAGTGTGTATCAATCAATAAATAGCTAAGAAAAGAAATTAGTCGCACGATAAAAGAAAAATAAGAGGAACGTTTATAGAACAGCTAAAATAAATAATTTTTCAAACATTTCTATAAGTGATTCCAGTAATTCAAATAAACCTTATTTAAGATATTATAGATATATTGAAAAGAAATATCTTAACCTCTATAACATATTACCAATAGTTTATCTGCGAATATGTATAAACAGATAGATCATTAACGATGTTACAATGAATACGAATAGAACAAAACAAAAGAAAGCGGATCGAACCAGTAGCCTCATTATCGAATGATGTTATTCTCTTTGATTCACACTATCATCGATATATGTTAAAATATCATAGGAAATGCTAGTATAATTAACTTACGTTTGAAATAAACAAATCATCTATCAGAAGCGGCTGCTTAAATTTTTGGCTCTTCAAGAAAATATTACTGAATGATTTTCTAAATTTTGGACATATCTAACCAAAGCTTAACAAATAATATTTTCTCTTGATTTCGGTGATTAAATTATATTCTATTTGTTTTTTTCTTTCTAGTTTCCAATTAATCTACCTGATTATTGTGAATTTTTCATTCGTGTTACTCGTCTTACAGTTCCATATCAAAACGTTTCGTTGATTCATCCATATCCTCTTCTGTATTCACCTCCAAAGAAAAAAACAGATACTGATGTTGTCATAAAATCACCATCAATCTATTATAAACTCAGCAAAGAAGAAATTTTTTCTCATTCAAAACAGTATGTAATCATTGCATGAATTTTTTCTTGAACATCAAATCAAATATTTCCTATGATTTTCTCTCTAGATTTCCAAATATCATTCTTACTCGTCGTAAACAATGTTACCTTAAAACTTTAAATTGTTTACCTTCATTTGGTAAGATTAAATTATTTCGAAGATTAATTTGTCTATTTTTTTTCTTTCGTAGATAACACTGATATCACTTATCCATTTATTGGTAATAGTGCAAAACATAAGATTGCTAGTTATGAATTAAAAAAATCTCAACTTGATTTTCGTCTTGTGACACGATGTAATGAAACAGGTGAATTCATAGATCTTAATATTTCATGCCGATCAAATTCATTACTTGAAGGTACAGTTTCAATGTTTAGATTTTTTTATATTCAATATTCATTTTGATTTTCATAGAGGAAGGAACTGAATGTAAAAAATTATTAATGGCACCATCGTTATAGTTTTAAAAGTTAAATTTATTTAAGATTAATCGAACTAAAATATCATTGTGGATATTCATATGCTATGCTTTCGAACAGCTTCATAATTCACTTACTTTTTTTCTCTGCAAGTAACCTCTATGTAAATGTACGTGTGTTTTCTTTTTGCTTAGTTTTTTTTTTCTCATTTGAACAATAAGAAATATTTAATCCTTTTTGTTTTCTTGTTGGACTTTTTTCAGCATCATATGTAAACTTGTTTCTTCAAAGTTAAAATTAATAAAAAATGAGGAAAGAGATGTTTAATAATAATATGCATGTTAAAAAAATATCTTGGATATGAAATGATACGCGCTATCCTGTATTTCTTCTTATCGACATCCGCCCATAATTGTTTTAGTGATAGTGATCGAACGATTAGAAAGATAGAAGTTTAATTTTCATCTGTATTATAGTTTCAACTTAATTATTATAGTTATATTCTTTTTCATTCAATAGAGAACTGAGAATTAGCGACATCTTTTGTGAAATTGAGAATAATTTGTAAAACCAAATATTTTTTAAGTATTAAACGATATTTTAAATCGAGTATCTAAAAATTGGCTTAATAAATATTTATACGATTAAATATTAACATGTATCCTTCTCTTCAAAACTCTCTTAGGACTCTCAAGAGAGTCCAATGGCACTTGCTTTTTGTTGTTTATTCACTGTAGAACAGGAAAATTTGCTATGTAAAATATCATCGATTTATGCAGATTTTCAAAATAAATTTCCCTGATTCTAGATGCTTTAGCCACGAATATCTGTAAAAAAATAACCAAATTTTAATTTAATAATTATTTTTACAACACGTGCATCTCTCTTGTTAAATAATGTCTCAACGTGCGCGTGTTGCCGCTGCTCGTGCAGCTAAAACGTCTGCTGCTTCTTCATTTTCTCAATCAAATAACAAATCAAAATCGAAGAAAAAAGTCGTTCCAGTTCGAAAAGTAACTCGCAGTAGTGCTAATAGTGGTGCTGTACAAAAGAAAACGCCAGTAAAATCAAGTAAAAAGCCTTCACCAGCTAAACGTCGCCTTCAGCAACGTTCATCAACCAGTACGCGTTCTTCAACGCGTCTACCTGTTACCACCACCACCGTTAATTCTGCTACTACTACTGCTGCCATAATAACACCAAGAAAAAAGCGTTTGTCTGGTTTAACAGCTGCGACACTTCTTCAATATTGTACTAATGTTCTTTCACCACCTTCAAATGAAAAGAAGCAAACAACTCGTAAACGACAACTACGTTCAGCAAATAGTAGTCCTATGTCTAAGAACAATCAAAATGCAACAAGTCGAAAAAAGAAAAAAGTTTGTAAAATTTGAATATCTGCATAAAAATAAATTTTACCTCTTTAAATTTTTAGACAAAACCAGTAGAAACGAAAAGAAAAGCTACACCAAATACTAGAAAAACACGTGCACGAAAAGCAACAACCACCGATGATGAAAGTAGTGAGCATAATGAAAAAGAAGAAGCAAATAATAATAATAATGATGATGATGATGATGATGATGATGATGATGATGATGATGATGATGAGAATTCAGATGATAATGATAATAATAAGCAGCAGTCAAGCGAAGAAGAAAATAGTGACGATGAAAATGTTCGACCATCACGTCGTCGTACGAATGTTAAACCTAAACCAGCAAATAATCGACGAAAACGTCAAGTATCGAAAATTTCGTCGGCAGCTGATGTTAAACCAGTCGAACCAGAATTAAATATTCATACACGTGCACGTCGTGAAGCAAGTTCGCGTGCATCGGCAATGATTATGCAGCAAAATGAAATTGAACGTAGTCGCTTTAGTTATACGATCGCTAATGAGCGTGCAGCATCAGCTAATCGACGACGTCGTACGAAAAGTACAGTTACAACTAAAGATGATTCTCATGCTGATCTTATTGTTGATCCACCTGAACAATCATCGAATGAACCATTCAAATTTAATATTCCATCTGTTCCACCCGTACCAGTAGCTCAAGTACAAGTACCAACACCAACACTACAACCCACAACCACAACTACAACAACAAAAGCAGTAGTAGTTGCAACAGCAACAACGACGACAACAATAACAACTGCAGGAACAACAACGAGTCGAAAAGTAACACCACCACCATCATTATTTAATGTACCTGCACCAGCTTCATCAATAGCGAATGTATCTAATAAAACTGAATATGCTCAATCATTAAATGCTATTACAACAAAAATTACAAATCAAACACCATTAACTACAGCAACAACTACAATATCAAATTCAAAATATCCATCATTAACAGAAACAGTTCTAGCTGAACATGATCGTATACATGGCATAACTCCACCGTATCATACAACAAAACGTGATAATCTCATTAAATGGGTACAAGAATTAGCATTACATGATCGCCTATCACCACCATTTCCTGAACATGAAATTCCTCTAGAATCATTTCATGGTGCTGCATCCTCGATATCATCTACAACAACAGCAACCAACGATCAGATTCAAGCAACTCGTGGAATTATTATTAGTCAAAATAATAGCAATAGCAATCAAAGCACGAGTGCAGCAACAAATAATGGTGGTTCAGTTGTTGGTGGTGCTGGTTCAACATCAACGACAATTGCAGGTACAAGTACAGCTACAACAGGTGGTACAAAAAGTAATAATACTCACAGTAAATCAACAACTAAATCAACACCATTGCCGCCACCACCGCCACCACCACCACCACCACCTCTACCTGCAGTCAAACAACCATCGAATACAAATACAGCTAGTACAAATTTTGCACAGAAAAATCGAACAGCAACAAAAGGCTCAAATGCATTAACAAGTAAGCTTCCTATTTTAATATAAGAGGAAAAAAGCCATTTAAACTAACGAGTTAGTTTTGAGGTTTTACCTTTAAAATTAGCAACAAAAAATAATTTGAGAAACAATGTGCTTAACTAGAAGAATAGTCTTATTAAGAGAGTTATTTATTAATAGATTTACAAAAAAAAGTACATTTCGTAAGGAAAACATTTCAGAACAAAAGAAAAGATCCTGACACTGTCCGTCACCTATCTTCATGAGCTTATCATCAATTTTCAATAGACTTAACAGACTAGTTTCTATTTTCTTTTCTTTTTTTTTAAATCAATTTTTTGTCTTTTCAACTTTCCATCTTATGATAGAATGAGTGTCATTCCCTAAGGATTGATCTTAGTAAGTTTGATGACAACTCATTTCTTTACTGAGGAACTTCTTTACAAAATATTTATCTTAGAATGTAAATGATTGATTAGGAAGCCTTGTTCCCCTGAAATTTGACAAGTACACTGTATTTTAGGAAATTCTTTCAACTAATCAAATGTTTTCATCAATTTATTTTAACTATTCCCAGTAAAGAAAAAATAATCCAATATATTATCTTTCTAAATTTTTCTGTCTTTGCACTATTTGAAAACAATTAATTTATATTTTCTGTATTTTATCTTTTGTAGCTCCATCAATGAATGTACAAGATCATTCAATTGCATCGACTCCTTTGATAAATTCTTTTACTGCCATAACTCCTGCAATTCTTGGTACAACCGCAGTAAATACACCCTCACCATCGTCGTTATCATCGCGACCACTTTCATCGTCACATGAACTTCATCATCAACATTCATCAGCAACATCAACGCCAATATCTACAACAAACGTTACATCAGCATCAAATCCAGCTTTTCTTGCACCATCAGCAGCTGCTGCTGCCGCGGCTGCTGCGGCTGCAGCTGCAGCTGCATTTCCCATCGATTTACGTTCATTCTATCCTCTTCTGCCTTGTTGGCAATATCCGGGTAAGCCGCATCAGTGAATGACTTTGCATGCTATTTTTTCTCTCTTGGATATGTATGCATACACATTATTTATTTATTTATTTATTTATGCTTTCATTATTATAAATGAGTTTTTTTTATTTAATTTTTGACTTTATTATTTCTTTCTTGCATTGTTATTATTTGAATATGCGAAAAAAGAACAAGCTGAGTTGTATAAATAGTAATTTTTATGTAAATACAAGCAGGATATTCTCATACATTATGTATTTAATTCGCTATCCCTCAAATCCCATTTCTAATATGTTGTTATGCATGCTTCCTCTCCTTGCCAATGCTATGTTGTTCGATTATTGTAGATAGAAAGAAAAAAAAATGACTGATTCTTTGATTGACAGCAGCTACTGGTATGTAGATTTCGAAATAAATACACATATACACGCACATTCCTATTGTTTTCTACGCTTTTTCTCCCAACGTTTTTTTTATGAAAAGATGCTCTCTTTCTATTTTTACTTTTTTCCTTACTAATTGATTATCGAACTATCAGTGTATGTTTTCAAATGATCATTTGACGATTTATTTCGTTTCTTTTCTATACTTCACATAGAATTCTTGTTTATTTTCATTTATTTTACTTTTTTTTTATTCAGCTTGGACATTTCCAACATCTGCATCATTACTTAGTCAATCGGCAGGTTGTCTTTTACCACCATCATCAACTCTTCCGCCTCCACCATCACCAGTTGTTCATCATAAAACATCTATAACACGTCATCGTACAACAACACATTTAGAAACTAAACAGAAAAAATCATCAACAACAACTACAACAATAAACAATTCAAATAATTCTATAAAACAACAGTCGATTATATCATCAACCTATGATGAACAACAGAAACAAGCTATATCACCAAAAAAAGAAGCATTAACATTTCATTTACATACCCATCATCATCATCATATACATAATCCAAATCCACCATTATCTTCAAATACATCATCTTTGCTTAAATCTCCGAATCCAACTAAAACAACCACAGTACCATTGTCTCCACAAAAATCATGTGTTTCAGTTAATAAAGAACAGCTTGTTGAAACAAAAACAATATTACCATTAAGTGTAAATAATGTTGTTAAAAAAGAACATCAGCAAATTTCAATTACAGATATATCTTTATCACCATCGATGGAAAATGAAGCATTAAATTTTTCTATTAAACATTTATCAGCAAATCAAAAACCTTATATCAATGAACACGATGAAACAGTTAAAAAGACGAATGCTAAAAAAACATCTCCGACTAAAGGACGTGTTAATTCTGGATCAAAAGCCAATAGGTAAATATACTGAAAAATTTTTATTCTCGAAACTGTAAAAATTTGTTTATTCAGTTCACCGACTCCATCGATTGGTGAGAAAAATCCATATACAATTAATTCAATCATCACATCGCCTATGAAAAATTCCGGTGTCAATCTAAGTATAAGTCCATCACATCCACGTCAACGTTTAGCAAATCCAATGGGAACAATTATTTCACCTGTATCAAATATTCTTATTTCAAATGGTGATTTATCTTTTACTAGTGATAGAGATCATAAAAATTCCCATCGAATTTATAAACGACGTAGTGTATCGGCAGCAACTGCTACTGCAACAACATATATATCAATAAATGAGAAAAATTCTCGTACAGCACGTACTAATTCATCATCAGCAATCTCAGTACGATCGAAATCATCAACCAATATCACAAATCCAAAACGATCACATTCACCACATTCAATGACGCTAATGGGATCTAATAAAAGTCCTGGTCAAAGAAAGAAACAAAAAATTTCTCATTATTGGGCTTTATTTGGAAAATGTGAACAGAAATTAGTTTCAATTGATGTACGTTATTATCTTACTTACTAAACAGTTTCCCAAGTGGAAACTATTAATTGAATTGATATTTTTGATTTTAAGTAGTCTCTGATGAGATTAGCTGAAGTCTTCTTTATTTGTTGATATACTTCATTCTCATGAGCCTTTTATTTCTTGATTTCACTGAATCTTTGAACAGTAGCAAGATAATTTAAGTTCACCAGTCGAATTACATCTGGAGATACTTCTATTGTTATAGCGATAGTAAAATTCTATGGTTGATTTCCTTTTGTTTTTTGTTCAGGCTGACAAACCGCCGGTTTATCGCGAATGCTATTCATCGATTCGACACGTCAAAGAAAAAGATATAATTAACTCAGATGATTGTGTTTTATTACGGCCTGAGAATGCTGAACATAACGGTATGACACCATATTTAGCGAAAGTGAAATGGTTCTGGAAAGAACCTGAATCAGGTAAGACAAAGAAACTTTTTCTTTTTAATTTCTTTTTAAATAAAACCGAAATATTATTATTTTTTTAAAGGAGAAATTCAAATGTCGCTTATTTGGTATTATCATCCTAAACATAGTGAATTACCAGCACGTGTAAAAGAACATTTTCTACCAAATGAAGTGTTAGCATCTAAATATTGGGATTGTGTTAATGTGGCTTGCATCGAAGATAAATGTTATGTACTGAATGCTAACGAATATAATCGGTAAATTGAATTTTTCATTTTCGAATTCAGAAACTTCAAATCCAGGAATGTTTCGACTCGTCAGACTAGAGAAAACCCGAATAAAATGAGAGTTAGTCCTTGCTCGGAACATTCCTACAGTAATTAAAGGAGACTTTTTTTACGAGTCAAACAAATAGATGTATTATAAACTATGATTTTGTTTGAAATAATTTCCACAATATTTTGATATTGTTAAAATATGAATTTGTTTTCTTTCTTGTCTATAGTTATTATGTTCGTGAAAAAATACCAGATCTTTTTGAACATCCTGAGTCAGTTGAACAATTAAAATCACTGTTAAACAGAAATACTGCAACTATTCATCATCGATTGTTGCCATCAAATAGTGTTGATAATCAAAATATATTCTTTTGTCGCTACGTATATGACTATCGCGCGAAACGTATTTTAAAAAATCCAAGTTTAAATAATCCTAATACAAATCCGACAACAACAGCAGCAGCAACAACAACAACATCAACGACGACTACAACAACAATAAATACTACTACGACAATTTCTGTACCTACGGCAGCACGCATGTGAATCTCTTCTTGTTTTTTGTTTGTTTCTTGTATTTTTCTCTGACGTGTTTTGTGCTCGACTAATCTGGTTTTCATTTTTCTTGTAACTACGGTCATTTCTCCTTCGTTTTTATAGTTTTCTGAATTTGTTTCAACACAGCACAATTAAACTTTAATCTTGTCATTCATCTAAAGATATGAACGTTTGATTATAGAGAAAAAACTACGTGTGTGTGATATTCTCTATTTCAAAGTGTTTTTGTTTTTGTTTTTCATCATTAGTTAATCTTTCTATTTGTTTATTTGCTGTGCTGTTTCTTTTTACAGTCGAGCCTTACTTAAATCAACAAATAATGACGCTCGCTACAATCATTGCTATAAAGAACTTCTCTTGTTGTTTGTGTCGTTGTAAAAAAAAAAGAAAAACATGTACATTTTTTGTCATTACGAACAAAAAAAACTACAAATAGTCTTTGTTTTCTCTCTATATTTTTTTGTTTTGTTTTGCTTGTTAGTCGTCTCTACTACTATTCTCCTCTTTTTGTGCGTCTATATCAGAAAAAATATAAAAAACATTTTAAGTCTGAACTTGGTTTGTTTGTTTGTTTCATTTCTTTTTTATATAAATGTTCATATTTCTAGATTAATATTAGTAAACGATCATGTCAGCAAAAAGAGGTCGTGGTGGTGTCGGAGGTGGTAAATTCCGTATATCACTCGGTTTACCAGTCGGTGCCGTAATCAATTGTGCTGATAATACAGGTGCAAAAAACTTATACGTTATTTCGGTGAAAGGCTTTGGTGCACGCCTCAATCGATTACCAGCTGCTTGCGTTGGCGACATGATTATCTGTATGTTTTCTCTGAATTATTTCGTATTGTTGATTTGTTTATTCTTTCTTTCTTTCTTTGTTTGTTTTTAGCAACGGTTAAAAAAGGCAAACCTGATTTACGTAAAAAAGTAATGCCAGCAGTCGTCATCCGACAACGTAAACCATTCCGCCGAAAGGATGGTACATTCATTTATTTTGAAGATAATGCCGGTGTTATCGTCAATAACAAAGGCGAAATGAAAGGTTCAGCTATAACAGGACCAGTGGCAAAAGAATGCGCCGACTTATGGCCACGTATAGCTGCTAATGCACAATCAGTAGCTTAACGAAAAACATTTCTATCTGTTTTTGTTTCCATCCTATGAACAGAAAACCACAACAAAAAAAAAAAGAAAAATTAAACTAACAAAAGTTATTGTTTTTGTTTACTATTTTGATTTAAAAAGATCTGCGATCAAAATATACAATTGCTGTTTTGTGAAGAAAACAAAATAATAAAAAAAGATTATTTTATTTTATTCCAGAATCTAGAAAGAGAAGTGCTCGAGATAGTGCAGCAAGTACAGAAAGACTCGAATGTGGATCGTCAATGGTATGTTTAAGTTCGTCGAATTCTTTAAGAAGAAAAGCTTTTCGTTCATTATTTTTCATTTGTTTGTTTTGTTCATCAGCTAATTGGTGATTAACAAAGGAATTCAAAACTTTTTGTTGAACTGATTCCGGACTCGAGTAATGATTATTGAGTGTTGTTCGACATGAATAATTTACTGGTGTACGTGATTGATAAAATGATGCACGTCGGACACATTGATCTATAGCAGTAGAATTTCTTTTTTGTAAAATCATCGGCAATTCATTGGATATTTGTTTACTTGATTTATTATATGATGGAGCTTGACATAATAACCGTTTTTCCGATTCAGTTGAAAAATTTAATAAACGAAAATGATTTTGTATACGTGCAAAACAATTTGGCGTCATTAATGTTTCTCCATCATCAGTATCATCGGAAACGTGAGGTTCAATATGTTCAAGATTTCTTCGAAGAGAGTCAATTCTTTTATTAAATAAATTTTCACGGTGTTTGTAATAATGTAAATTTGATAGATGATTTTTCTTACGAATATTTTCGTTCATTTCATGTTCAATACTTAAACGTCGATAAGTGCAAGCATTGATTTTTAACTTTGTCTTATTTGGTTTTTCTTCCATTGTTGTTTTCTGATGTATAATATAAATTTTTTAAAAATATTTATATATAAATTCTAATAGAGTATTTTTCAGTTCGATTATTTCCGTTTCGCCCTCGTACTTCTTCTCTCTAGCTATTTATTAGAATAACGGATGTGCACTAAAAGATTGTTACTAAGACACCGATAGAAATGAACAATTAAGCATTTTGATAAGAGATGAACAACGAGTGCATAATAATACGTTTATTTATTTTTTTGTTTTTGTTTTTATAGATTTTTATTCATGACTTCGTTAATTGATAGTCTTGCAGCGAGTGAAAAAACAGTGATTGTTATTGATATTGGACAAGCGTATACGAAGTGAGTCGATTAAATGTATTCGGCATAAATTGAATGTTTGGTTTTATTGATTTAACAAACAAAATTTACTAATGTTAATCTGCTGTACTGACCATTTAATTAAAAATTTGAAAGCTACTTAAAAAAAAAATGAATGCTTATTTTGCTATGAAAATAAAGTGTTTCATCGAACTTCAATTGTAGTGGCTTGAAGTAGCTATTGTAAAGAAAAATAATTTACAATCAAAATATGAAATGACAACTTTTCCTAGATGTGGCTTTGCTGGTGATTCTTCACCTCGTCATATTATTCCGACTACTGTTACAATTGATGGAAAAGTATTCGTAGAATACTTCGAATTTGTTTTTGTGCTAACGAATAGTTTGTTTCTTATTCTTTCAGACAAAACATGTCTTTGAAAATAATTCAGATGTTATGATATTACACGATGATCGTCTTAGTGAATTTATTCGATCAGTTTATTATAAGTGAGTTAATAGTTGAATTCTCTGATTTTATCTGACTTTGTTCAGATATAATATTGCAAATAGTCGAGGTCGACGTGCAGTTATCGTTGAATCAGTTATTACACCAACACGTATTCGACATTTAATCGCCAATATTTTGTTAAAACAACTTGAAGTTTGTTTTCAACAATTGATTCTTCGTGTGTATATGAATCATACTATTTTTGTAGGCATTATCTGTAGTATTTATACCATCACATCTAGCTGCAACGTATACATTAGGCCAAAATACAGCACTCGTTCTTGACATCGGTTACAAAGAAGCTCAAATCATGCCGATTACTGAAGGTATACCATTGGCGATGCAATTCGATAGTTTATCATATGCAGGTCAAGCTATTCATAAGTAAGAAAATCGAACTATAGTGCGTCTTCAAAGGATTTCTTTTCTCTGTAACGAAAAGAAATGAGAAAATTGTAGTTAAAAATTGGGAAACAATATCGTAGAATCATACACAAAGATAATCCTAAAAGAAAATATGAAACTAGATGGCGCTTTAACAAAGTGGCACATGGATGAAAGTCCGATTAATTCTTCAGTTTTCATCCTTGATTTTTAAAATGTGTTTTTACTGTTTATTCGTTACTTCACGGGAAAACTCCAGATTGATTTTACTATTTAATTTAAAATAAAGGATCGTTTTAAAAAAGACAGAGATCGAAACAACTATCACTTAGAGACCTCTACGAATTCTTATCAATTCTCTTTCTGTTTCTTTTTGTCACGAACATACCATACATTATCTTTACTTTACTAGTCAAGATCAAAAATCATATGTTCTCACACCTGAATCTTCAATATTTTTCATTTTCATAGTCTTACAATTCCAAAATAAAGTGTGTGGCGCCTAAAATTATTTTGACTACTGTTTAACTTATTATATTAAAATTTGAGAACATTAAAAAAATCTTTTTGGCAACTGTTATGAAGATTATTACTCCTATTTCATTCGAATGAAGATCGGCACAGGTATGCGCAATATAAATAAAACAAAAGAATCCTGAGTGTCATAGACTTTCTTTGAGAACTGTATAAATAATAAAGCGTTACATCTTAGAAAATGAACACTTTCATATTAACTCGAGTGACAGAACTAATCAACTAGGATTACTTAGCGTCTTCACATCTTACATTATAATCCTTACCTTGTAAACTCTACGAGCAGTTCCCTCTTTGCTATTTTCTTTTCAATTGACAAAAATGGAAAAAAATTAATTGCCTGTGACATTCGTAGTCATTATTTATAATTTTCATGGTGTCTCTGTAGAAACGTTTTTTCAACCTCAAAAAGCGATAACTTGGAATATTTAAGAAAAGCTAATCTAACGTTTTGATTTAGACAAATTCAATTTTTACTTGAACAACATGCCACAATCACTCACCAACGAACGAAGCAACCATTTAGTTCGGCTAAAATAAAATTATCTGAAGAAATTTTGGAAGATATTAAGGGTTTGTTAAAGCAATTGTTCAAAAGAAAAAGAAATTTAAAATATTAACTTTAGTTCGATGTTGTTTCATTTCACCATTTACTCGTGCACAAATTTATGCTGAAGATAAATTAATATCTAATGAATCGAAGGGTTCATTTAAAGAAGCTGCATCCATTGACTATCCAGTAGATGGAGACGCCATGATTCATATTCCTGGAATAGTTAGGTATTATAAGTTTATAGTGAATAGAATAAAAACAATCAGAGTTTTCTCGTTGTTCTCTATTTTTGCATAGAGAATTTGCATGCGAAGCTCTATTCGAACAAAATATTGATGGAAGATCCATTGCAACATTGGTACTTGATAGTCTACTTGAAGTATATAAAAGATATATTATGTTCGTGATTAAAATTGAAATATTCCTACGCTCTAGGCACCGATTGATTTTCGTCGACAATTAGCTGATAATATTCTGGTTATTGGTGGTACAGCTATGATGCCAGGTTTTTTACATCGATTCAATGCTGAATTGGCTCATCTTGCTAATTTACCGGCATATATAAATAGATCAGTTATAAAACAATTTCGTTTTCATTCGCCGCCTGCTCACTTAAATTATGCAGCATGGTTAGGAGGTAAAATCTTTTTTCTTGTCGTAAAACTGTTTGATTTTTCGTTTTATTAATTGTATTTAATGTATAGGTTCTATGTTTGGTGCACTTGATAAACTAGAATCGCAATCAATTCAACGCGAAAAATATGTAGAAAATGGAATTTTACCGGATTGGTTTACAGACCAACAAACTTCTTAATACATATAGTAGAACTTGTTTCTTTGTTCCTCGAGGTTTTTTCATCGGTAGTTTCTCTAGATTAATCCTCCCGTTTTCGTTTTAAGAGTCGAACAGCAATCAAGAACTATCTAATTATGTATAGATACGATCACTAATTGCATTTTTCATAGGTGTCACTAACAAGAAAGATTTTAGTATTCGTCATATTTTATTTATGAACGTAATTGTTTGAAATATTTTCTTTTTCTTTTTAGTTTCAGATTAGTCATTAGATGCAACTATTACTTTACTATTAGGCGAATTGTTTAATTACACAAGTGAGTGTCTTAGGGGAAAACCAATGAAGATACGATAAAGAGAAACAAAATCAGATTTAGTTGTGTGAGACTGCTCATTAGTAAAATATTTGATAACGATACTAATGTATGTAACACATTCGATTCAGTCAATGAAGAAAATAAATAGTGATTTAATCATCTGTGATTTATTTTTGTTCACAGTGATCTTTCGTTTACTTTCAATAGTAGTGTCAAAATGCACTTTGAAAAAAAACTGAAATAGTGTCTTCGATTAATTTTTTTCCCGATGTAATATTTCTTGTAATGAAATTTGTTTTTCATTAGGGATTTATTCTTACTGTTATAAATTAAAATCAATATTATTTATTATTCAAAATGTTTGACTATATACCCAATGATCAAACCATAGTCACTTATGTATTTCCATATATGTGGTTCATTAGTTCAGCTTTAGTAGTTTTTCTTGAAATAGTTTTAAATATTAAAGCTACTTATGGACGTTACAATACAAGTGGAAGTGGAATTTCAGCACGCTTAGCTTGGTTTATTCAAGAACTTCCATCCTTCTTTGTACCATGTTATCTTTTATATTACCACCAGTCATCTTTATCCATGACTAAATTTACAATAATTGGTCTTTTTCTAATACATTATTTTCAAAGGTATGTTGAACATAATAAATAAAAACATAAAATTGTACTAGTGAACAGACGAACTTTATTTTTGTGTGAGGATGTTATCGTTGAAAGAGGCATAAAAGTATCTAAAATCGATAGAGCGAAAGAAAAACAAATGATCATAAGTGATCGTGAGAAAGTTTAATACAAAATATATATGGTAGAGAAAAGAAAAGAATGGTCACACATAAAAAAAAGAACATCAGTAAGAGTAGAAATGTTTAAACGTGCATATTATCGATGTGTGTCGTTCGAATACCAAAGTATTGCGGTTCACGTCTACACGTCTATAGTTAAATAAAAGACAAACACAATATTATGATTTTATAACGGAGCGCATATAATGAAAGTGTAACGTTTGTTTTTATTTTTTATGAAGAGTCTTCATTTATCCTGTGTTAATTCGTGGTGGAAAAAAAAGTTCATATTCAACAATAATATCTGCATTCTGTTTTTGTTGTATAAATGCTTATGCGATTGCTCAAGAGATTTTAGCATATCATGTTTACCCAAAAGATTATTTATTTTCATTACAATTTATATCCGGTGCGATTATTTTCTTTATTGGATTAATGTTTAATCTTCAAGCAGATTCAATTTTAAGAAATCTACGCAAAGATGATAAACAACGTGATTATAAAATTCCAAGAGGTAATAGCCAAAACAAAGACAAAAAGAATCGTTACACAAGAGTTTTATTATTTTTTTTTTCAAGGTGGCCTATTTGAATATGTTTCTGGTGCAAATTTCTTAGCTGAATCCATCGAATGGACAGGCTATGCTATTTGTGCATGGACATTACCTGCATTTGCATTTGCAGTTTTTACATGGGCTAACATTGGACTCGGCCGTGCCTTTCATCATCATCAGTATGTGGAAAAAAATATTACCATTGATATTGTATTTCATTATGAAATTATATTTAGGTTCTATCTTGACAAATTCAAAGATAAATATCCAAAAAATCGAAAAGCTATTATCCCATTTATTTTATAATTGACATTTGTGTTTTTTTATTTTCCTAATTGAATAAATTCTCTTTTCTTTTCTATTTTGAATGATTAGTCAAACTAGAGTTTTACTCTAATCCTCTATACTTTCTAGATGCCTCCTGGTCGAAAAAGTATTAGTACAAGTAGTAAATCGTCATCGTCAACAAATGGACAACATTCTCCACCACAACCAAAACAACATATCTTTGGTACATAGGCAAAAGTTTTTCTTTTTAATTTTATATTTAATGAAATTTTCTTAGATTCTGGCAGTGTTGTATGGTGTAAATATAAAAAATATCCTTATTGGCCCGGCATAGTATGGGAGAAGACAAACAAAGCAAATCGAACGCTCTACGAAGTATTGTTCTTTGGAACATTTAGTCTTGGATTGTAAGTAAATGATATTTTTTTTTAGTAAATTATGTTAAAATGTTGATTTTATTTAGAGGTATTGATCAGAAATGGTTAGAAAAATACGAAGGTGTTGCCGAATTTAAAAAACGTATTACAGAATTAAAAGCTTCAGAAGTATGATATTCTTTAATTTTTATTGAATACGATCTAAAATGAGTGTTTACATATAGAGACATTCATTTAAATTCTCCCTGAAATATATATATAATAGAGATTCTGACTGATCATCAGAGACTATAAAAAATATTTAGTCCTACAAGAATTGTTGAATATTCAAAAATAAAAATTTATTTAATAGATTCTTATCAAAAACAAACCAAGCAAATACGATATGAATATAACATTAGCAAATTTAGAATCATTCCAAGAAGCAATAAAACAAGCAGCACAAATTCTTAAATGTTCAAATCTTTCCGAAAGACTTGAACTAGCTGATAATATGCGTAAAGGTGTAACATGTGATTTTTTTCAACTTAAGCTTGGCAGTAATAATAATAATGATGATGATGTTGATGATGATGTTGATGATGAAGAAGATCCTGATGAAACAAATTCAAATATTGCCGAAGACCATTGTAAACGATGTTCTTTTCATTTAAAAGAAAACTATTAGAATTATTCGATGTTTTTTAGCGTCAATTTTAGCAATGCAACCTTTACAAAATGATCATCAATTTATTCAAACAATGATCATTCAAGGAAAGAAAAAACGAAAATTAGAAGAAGACGCAAGTTTACCAAATGCAAAAACACGTCGACTTGCAATCAAAACAGAGCCTGAACAAGTAATTAAGCTATGAATAACAGACAAAATAATCTTTTTTTCTGTAGCCATCGAACGCCTCCTTACCGTCTCTTTTATTTCGACATACAACTGATCAACCGATTGTTATGTGTTCAAATTTCGTTTGCCATAGTTTATCACCAACCGAAGAAACATTTATAATAGACGCAATAGCACGTGCTGGTTCTGATTGTACATTTTTTCAGGCGAAACAAATTGCTGAAGAAACATACTCAAATATAATTTGTATTAATAATTCAAATCGTTCTTTGCCCGTCAGCGAAATATGGTTCTATTTATTTTTATACCTACATTTCGAGCAATTATTTGCAACGCATCCTCATTGGCTTGATGATCTTGAAAAAACAAAAGCCAATGTTAGTTATTTGTATGAACAACAACAACAGATCATTCGTCTTATGAAAACCTATATTCGCTAAAAAATGACCTGCTTTCTTTTTCTCGCGTGTGTGTGTGTTTGTGTATATAGATATATAAATATGCGTTGTAAATTAGAAAAAAAACACTATTTTGTATGATCTGGATAATTCAGAAGAAGTGCTCATAGGTCAATACATCGAATAAAATATTATAGGTACACATTCTTTGTTGTTTTTTATATTTTCTTTTCGTTATTTTTCATTTTTGGTTCTATATCTAGACGTATTTTCGATTTAAGATGACGAGTAATAATAATGTAGAAGAACAACGGTGGAAATTATTAGATCAGGAACGATTTCAATCATTTTTCGACTCTGATGGTCGACTTGTGAAAGAACATGAATTTAGAAAAGCTGTTTTCAAAGGTGAGACGTAGGCCAGTAGACTGAATAAATATTTAACAGTTAGTCATAGATCACATTAAAACTCATTATATTGTTATTACAAGTTATACAAATAAAATAACATATCCGCAAAATGTTAGAATTCGAAATTTCAAATATTCGTATTGTTAGGAGTTTCCTCAATTGAGATGACCATCAATAATCTTGAAATTGTTTTCGGTTTTCATACAAAAGAAAGAAATATTTTTCTTCATATTCGCTCTAACCAAATATTGTGTGCATCTTCAAATGATTAAAGCTCAATAGCGAGTTCAAAGTCTATTAAATTTACAAAGGAATACGATCCGGTTAATGGCTACTATTTCCCTTGCATTTTTACTAAATATTCTCTAAGAATAGTTTCTCATGGTTTAGGTGGTATCAATAATGACCTTCGACCAAACGCATGGAAATATCTCTTTGGTTTCTATCCACCACTTCTCTCTAAAGTGTAAGATTAATATTTTATTTGACTTTTATTCTATCATCGATGAATAGAGAACAAGAAACTATCGACGTTGAGCGTAGATTACGATATGATTTTATGTGGGAACGATGCCAAAAAGAAATGCCAGAAGAACGTAAATAAAAATTCTTAGTTTTATTTTGTAACTATGTTCTATTTTGTATGAATTCTAGTTCGCTCAAACGTACCCCACTTATCTGCTAACAGATCAAAAGAACCTGTCAGTTCCAATCAACTTTTCTTTTCGATTCAACAACGCATTGAAGCATATAAACCGAAATGTGTTTGGTCTGATATGGATTATCATGTACGACTGATTGCTAAAGATTTACATCGAACAGATTTCATATCATCAGAGCAAAAACCCGACAATTACAATTATGGGCCATTAACGCGTTTACTTGTTACATTCGCATGCTATAATCCCAAAATTGGTTACTCACAAGGTACTCATAGTAAGTGAAATATAAAAAATAGCTTCTTGATATTCTTAGGAATGAATGATATGGCTTATAGTTTTCTTCGAGTATTTTCTTATAATGAACACGAAGCATATTTCTGTTTTGCTTATTATATAAATCAATCGGGTGAACATTTTACACGATCAGGTATAGCATTGAAAATAAAACAGCTACCAAAACTCGTTGAAATTGTTGATCAATCATTATATAATCGTATTGTATCGCTCGATGTTGAATTATGGACATTTTGTCATCGTATGTTATTGATTTTTCTTTTTTTTTTACTAACCATTAATATTCTCATGTGCATTTAACCAAAGGTTGGTTATTTTTATGTTTTCGTCGTGAATTTTCCGAAGAAGAAGATACATTAATATGTTTCGAAGTGGTGTGTAGTCATTTTCTGGAAGAAAATACTTTAGCTGCAGAACGTTTACTACATGATATTCAATTAGAACGAGCCGAAAAGAAAGGTATCAGTACTAGCTGTTCAACAATATCAACAGAAACCCATTCTAAAATTAATGATGAGTATGGCGGCTCCTTTGATTTATTTGTTTGTATTGCAATGATATCATTATTTCGTGCATGTTTATTTGATGCTCGTGATGAACTTGAAGCATTGTCAGCGATTCAAGAACGTCAGAAAACGCTTGACGTTCGACAAGTTTTATCATTGGCTGAACAACTATTTACAATATATTGCAAACAGATTGCAACAATGTCATCTTTAGTTACACGTGCAGAAACATCCTTTGATATTATTGATTAGTCATAATTACAATACACGAGAATCTTTTATATTATTTATTTATTTGTTCTTGTCCTTTTTGTATAATCAAATTGATTTCTACATATTTTTGTTGGAATAAAAATATATTTATGTGTGCTACTTGAAGTATGCTACAAATACGCATATATTCAAGCTACCATTGGATATTCTCTATTAAAAATTGAGAAACGGTAAGTTGTGAGAGAAATTGAATTTGATCCTCTCATTAAAGAAATGCTTTATCACGTTGTGAATATTTGATTAGTAATGCTCAATGCAGACCTTTTTGTTTTTTGATGAGTGCCATCCCATGATGATGACGTGACAGTCGATGAATGAAAGTCCAAATTATTTCACATGTTGCATCGACGAGTGTATAGACTTTTATTTGTCTACCAAATTTTTGAACTCAAGTTGAGTGCAGAATGGTGCATCTTTTGAGAGAGAGAGAGAGAGAGAAGGCAATCTGCTACCATGGCCTTGCGCACAGATACATTTAACATAAAATACATTGTAAAACTTTCGTCTTACAGAACTTATCTTTCTTTACTTGCGAGAAAAAAGTGAATAGATTAGATAACTCTGTGCTCTTAATAATAATACGAGTATTGAATTTAATTGCATTCAATAAAACCTTTATTTAATCAACGACGAAAAGCATCGTAAATCTGTTAGATGTATTGTTTGATTTTTTTGTTCATATAAAATTAAAAGCACACACTTAAGAAACATTAACTATTGCGCCATTTGGAATGTTTTCACTAAGTTCAGCAACTAGAACTTCGTTGTGTCGATTGAAAAGTTTCATTGGCATATCGTATGTTGCTGAAATAACTTCTGCCCGATTAATCGATAATTCTTTACATATTTCTAATATATGAGCACTTTCTCGTTTCCAATCGTTTTCTTTTGCAAAACCGCCGAAACGTTTTGCATATAAAATTTGTTCAGGTTGATGGCAAATAAAAACACCTTCGATAGTTGGTGTTGGTGGTGAACTGGCATTATTATCTTTATCAAGTATTAACATTATTGTAAATTGATTTTCTGCTTCAGCTGTTAACGATGGTCGAACTTTAACCATTATCGGAAGACATATTTTAAGGACTTTACCTAGAAGAAGAACAAAAAAGCAACTTGCTTTATTTCTATCTGATATCAAAATATAAAATTTTACCATCGGCATTTCCGCCTTGTGTATACTTAACAAGTTTCCATAGATTAGACATAACAGGCTCATCGCCAGATTTAGCAGTAAATGAATATGCCGCACAGGTGAATGGCTGATAATGACGTTTCTCATAGGACTGATTAATTGAAAACAATAATTATGACATCTTTTTATCAATATAATAAATAATACCTTGTTATTTTCGACAATGTCAAATTTAGGCCATTCAGGATCAGCGGCCATATGGGAATATGCAGATGCAGCTGTGCGTAGCCAACTCATTTTTTTTTGTTTATATCAAACCTTTATTGTAATGAAAGACCAGAACTATTTTTTCTTTTTTCTTATGTTGTCACAATAAATCATGGAACAAAATTTTATTTCAACCATTAGTAACAGACACTTGGAAGTGACCTATTCACTCTAATGGTTGTTGCCAAAAAAAAACAATGAAGAAATATCGCGAGAACATATAGTAGAGCAGCAAAGAGGAGCATGGTTTTGTTTTAAATTACAGGTGCTTATATAGTACAAGATAGAATGGCAAAAAGGAAAAATCTTCTAATGTCTTTAGCTCATCGACAATAAAACACATAAAGGAGAAAGAGCCAACGAGAGAAAGATCCAGAGAGAGAGAGAGAGAGAGAGAGAGAGAGGCAGACAGAAAGAAAGAAGAAGGAAACTGTACACACCTACACATAATGTTTTGTGTCTGATAAAAGCCTCTTTTGTGCTCGCTTAATCTTCAAGAATAATGATGATGAGAAAAATCTTGCTTCTGTTTCAAAAATGTTTCTAGAAAAAACAAAAAGGAGAAAAAAACACGAACACAAAATAACCTGTAATAAAGAAATGTTGCTAATACATGTGTTTAGAAACAATAATAAAAAGAAAGAAATAAACAAATCGACAATGTTCTACATATACATATATAATCTTTTTTTTTCTTATCGCAAATATTTGTTCAAGTCAATAAAGGCACAATCTGGTATGTTATTTTTGTGCATTAGCTTGTCGCATTCATGCAAATAACCAACGAGTACTTCTAGTGCTGGATGTCTTGGCATATCGTGTGCTTCTGCAAAAGAACAAAATACAAAGATCACACGTTAATATAGATTTATTAAATATGTGAAGAATGTTTTCATCTACTACATACCAAGTATGGCACTATTCACTGCACTAGAAATATTTTCACGTTGAGATGGTTCTAATAGATGAGCGAGTGGTGATAATTTCGGATCGGAATATGCTAATAAGCTGAATGCATCCTAAAAATGAAAAAAAATTCCATGTACAAACTACAAAAAAAAATAAAATCTCTATTCATTGTTTTTACTTGGTGGAAGATTGAAAAAAAAAAGATCAGTTTTGTCTCTTGAGACCGTTCTAACTGAATAGTATTATAGATAGCTGAAAGCTACAGATTGCTATTTTGAAATCAACTAATTAGATTTTTTTGCAAGTGTCTCCAGTAAGAGAAGTTGTATTCATAAAGAACTAATTGTAATGAATACTTCGTATTGTCTTATGCTATTTTGTAATGAACTAATCATCTTACTACTACTTGAGTCAATCGACAAACAAAAGAAATTTACTTGGAGCATTTTATCATTTTGTTGATTTTCTCCATGTTCAATGGTCAATTGTTGTTTGAGTGCATGTAATTCTCGACCAAATTGAAGAATTCTAACAAGAAGTTGATCATCTTCTTTTCTGGTTGGTTTTCTCTGTACATCAGATGACATTGTTTCCATATCCATCGTAGTATGAGTTGAATCACCATAACCATCATATTCCATACCATCAATAATATCAGTTGATTTTGTTGAACATCCATTACTATTTGCATTGTGATCAACGACTGGATTATTGCTATTATCGTTTGATAGTGAATGCCCATTACCGATTTGGTTTGTCGCAGAAGAAGAAGAGGAGGCGGAGGACGACGAAGAAGAAGAAGATTGAGATACTGTTCCGTGATTTCTAAAACCATTTGCTGTATTATTACCATGATGATTATCATCAATATCCATAAGATTCACAACAGCATTGTTAGATGCATCCGATGGCATGGAATCCACTGTTGTTGTATGACTATTTGATTCTGAATTTTGACATGATGTTTGTAGTAATTTTGATTCATTATTAGGTTCTATATTAACAAGAACAAAAATTTATACAAAAACAAAAAACAATAAAATGAATATACCTTGTGATAACTCGTTAGAATTATTTGCACTTGATCGACGAGATAAAACACTAGTTGTACCGTTGTTATGTTGTGCCCCTGATATAGTAGTCATTTGTGTACGGCTTGATGTATACGGACTATTTGAACGAGAACGTGAAGATGTGTTGGTTTTTTTCATCGGTGATGATGAACGTCCAGTCGTTGTTGGATAAGAATGATTTTTATTCGACAATGACGATGAACATGAAGGACTGTTCGAACGATTTCCATTACTAGCAGCACAATTAGTAGGCGATGGACAATTTGTTGTTGTCATAGATTGGGAGGAACAGGATGATGGACATGATATTGATTTTTTTCGAATTTCACTTTCAGTTCCATTGACCATTTCAATAAACTGACGAACTTTTAATACAAATAAAAGATTTTTATCGTTGAGCAAAGTAGGAAACAGTTCTCTCGTCTTTTCAATAGCATCGGTTGTGCGACCATCAAGAATCAAATGTTGTATGACTAAAAATAAACAATTTCCAATTCCATTGAAAATTTAACGTATTATCAAAAGACTTCAAAACAATCTTTTAACTTTTCCCGGTACTTACGTTGTCTATTGCGCATGGAATTGAGTTCGTCAGCATATACACTCTCAGCATTTTTATTGAATTGCTCAGCTGTAGCACAATATCCATAATGAACGAGATATGTAGAAACAATACGACGTAATTGTATTTGATGTAATAGCTCGCCTTCTTTTATTGTGCATTCAATGATTGCTCGACGCGTTTTTTCACGATATTCCTATTTCAAGTGAAATAAAATTATTATTGTTATCCGGATTAGTTTACTTACATCGATATATTTTTCTATGTCAAATTTAAAGGGACTAAGACCAAAATTAGCTTCAACAGCTTCATGAGGTGTTTGCAAGCCAACTGTCGGATAAATTTCCGTCTAAAATATGTATAGAAGTCGATTAAGTGAATAAATGAAAAATGAAAAAACACATACTGGTATATCTCGGAACGATGTACCTTTAAAAAGAAAAAAGATAAATATATGAATTTTTCTTTTTCAAAAACAATATTTACCAAGATTGTAACCGTTACGAGTGTAGAAACAGGAATTTTCAAGGAAATTGACACAACATCCAACGTAATCACCAGTTGTAAATGTCGGTCCGTAGATAATACCTGAACCTGATGAACAAAATGAATGACCATCATCACCATGATAACCATATGAACCTTTATCCCATCCTGGTAAACGACTGAGGTTCACTTCACTTGTTGATAGGCCAATACCCATATATCTAATTACAAAAACATAAAGATCAATATTTCGTAATCTATTCATTCCAATCTGTGAATATAAATGTATAGAACAGAAGAAAAAGCTTTCAGTGCCATTACAATAACCTTCAGGCCTCGTTAGGCAAACGAATACTGCATCTTGAGTAGAACAAGAAAGGTCAAAGTATTGTTTCTTCAGCAGAAAAGTACAAATCTGCACTAAGACAATGAAGAATGTCTCTTTAAAAAAAAATAGTATAATCTCAGATTATGCACTTTCGTTCTCTGAAAGAATATGCCTGCTCGAAGAATATTCAGAAAATCTTCACCGTACATTTTGAATCTATTTATAGATAGATAGATAGATTTTTCTTAGCAAGCGTATATACGTGAATTAGTTCAATTTAAAATTATTACAAGAAATAAAAGTTACACTTACCCATCTCGACCTTTGCTTAAAATTTTCACTTCAAAATAATAGATACCGGTCAATGACGGAATAGGATAATCCGAACGAAGACTAGCTGCATCTTTATGTGATTTACCAGGACCTTAAAAAACAAAGACTTGATTATATCGATCTTAGTTCATCACATAATTTACCTTTATATGTTACAACAAGATCACTTTGTTGAAGAAATAAAGTTGACGCTTTATCTTTGCTATTCCATTTTGTGGGTAAATGTATATCATCACTAACATGTGGATAAAGTTGAGCAAGACGTTCATAACCATTTTTATTATTCGTAGTTTTTGAAGTCGTTGTTGTAGGTGTTGTTGTCGTTGTTGATCTTGTTGCCATTCGCGATGATGCTATTGTTTCATTTGTATTATCTGTCATTTTTTGTATTTGTCGCGATAAACGTCTTCGTCGATGATGTTGAAGAAAAAGTTTGATGAATGTAAAAACAAGATATATTATATTCGAAAGTATAATTAAACAACATGAAATATATGCGTAATTAATCGAACAACTTTCATCCATTCCATTGTTGAAAATAGTAAGATTGAATGATAGTATTAATTGTTAAATGAACAAATGATATATAAACAATAAATAATAACAACAACACAAATCAGCTGACGATTTGCATATCGCGTCTATGCAGTCACGAATCAAGATGGCGTACGAGTCGCTCCAATAATAGTTTTCTTTTTTTTTCTTCTCTTTTCTATTATTTATGTTGAATATATTTATTAAAAAACGTTTTTTTCATCTACGATGTCTATCGACAGGTGAATTAACACGAAATCTAGCAATTAATAAACCAATTGAATGGAATCATTTAATAAAATGGCTGGACGATGGACAAAAATATCCTCTGTGGCGTGATACACATAATACTCAACGTTATTTTGAACATCAAAAATTAATTTCGAAAGAATATAAATCAATCAATGATTTTATCCGTATACATTATCTTAAATGGGATGTAGATATTGATAGAGCTACTAAAAAATGTGTTGCTATTCCAAGTGAAAATTCAATTAAAGAACCACTCGTAACACCAAATGCTTTTCCATATTATCTTGTTGATGGCATTCAACATTGGCTTATTTGGTGTGATCCAATGCCAAAAGAACCAGAGAAAATTATTGAACACGTTATGAATAGAGAATTTCATTCTGAAAAATTTGAAAGATTTTTTTTCATTAATCCACAACGTTTAAGATCTATTTCGGGTGTCTTTCATGCACATGTATTTACAAGAGAAATAAAAAAATGATTTTTTCGATGTATGATTTTGTTTTTTGAATATTTCATGAGGTAAATCGAAGAAACGACAAGTTCATTTTGAAATACTTATAATTGCTTTGAAAAGGCAGAAAGAACTTGATAGTAATTTTTAATACTTTTTTTCATTGTTGTTAATAGTTTTATTAATAAATCTCGATTCAGATAGGACAGAGAAAAATTTACCATTGAATATTTTTTTAACACTATTTCAAAGTTAGATATCTAAAGTGTAATCAAATAAAAAAACATGTGAAAAGGAACAAGCAGAATATGAATGACATTGTAAATTTGATTATTTTCACTATTACACTAGAATCAAGAACAATAAATAAAGTTGTTTTATTCGCAATTGATCAGGTCTTGATGTATGGCAGTATGTCTTTTTTTTAATTTTCAAATCGATTTAATACTAAGACCAATATTCAGATTTCACTTCTATGAATCAATCCAGACTAACGTTTTTCGAGAGAAATATTTCAATGGACCTCATTAGAAAGTGCAGATAAATTTTACATTGCTGTCACATTGGATTTGAAATCAAAATCTGAGTTCATATTTAGTATTAATGATTTTCTGTTCTTACTTGATTTTCATCTCAACGCTGTCTAACTATTCGTCTGCGGCATACAATTGAAGGCTCCTCATTTGATATAGTTTTTCAATAGGTCTTCGTTGTCTGTATTTCAGGCTATGGGATTGAGATGATCTGCTTCTGTATTTTTTTTGTCAATTTCTTTTTCTACATTATAGTTGCTCGACTAACTATAATCTGGATATCGTGACCGTCGATACCTTGATAAATTTAATCTGCTTTTGTAAATTTTTAGATTTCTTCTATAAAGAGCCGTTAGAATATATTTTGAATGAAAAAATACAGATGTTATGAGATTATAGAAATAAATTTCAGTTTATTTTCGTAGAAAGGACAATTGAATGATGAATGATATACTAAGAGGTTGATGTCTATGGCGCTTCAAAACCAAAAGGTTTAACACCGGGAATGATTCGTCCGTATTGATAAACATAATCATGATCATTGGCATACCCATTTGTAAGCATTTCGAAAAATAATGGTTTTGCCCCTTGAACAATCTGCTCACAAAAGAAGACATGGTCATTGTCTGCTCCTAAGAAAAGTCGAATATATATGTATATCTATGGAAATTTAGAAAAACTGGCAGTGATGACTAACCGTAACCTTGTCCTAAATCTTTGAATCCTATCCATTTAGCTTGAGGAACAATTTTTGTACCAAAGAAAACGTGAAATCCTCGTACTTCGTATGATGGCATTGCACCAGACTGCATTTGACCAAATGCAAACATCGTCGAGTGCTGAAGAACACAGATCGCTTATTTTCAAGTTTTTACAATGTTATCATGGAAAATTTTCGAATTTTTCAAGAGTTCTACTCATATGCAAAGTAGTAAGACACTACGAAATATCACTGGAAACTAATTGATCTCTGGCTTAAACGTTGTAGATATGCAAAAACTATTTCGATACAGTTGCACCTACTTCAAGTCATACGTATAACTAATTTTTTTTATTTATTATACCCAACCTAGATGATGAAAAAAATGCATTCTCAAATTTACCTATTCGTGCGTGTATATTATTTATCCATTCATGCGTAATAAATATTTCATCTATTTCTTCTGCCTAAAGGCACATGTGTATCGTCTTGACAAGGATCACAGACACCAGTGTTCAAAATACTGGGCACAACAATAGTTGATTATGACAGATAGTATTCATGAGATAAATAAAAATATGAGAACAAGAACTTGACAAAGAAAGTCGTTAGCAAGAGTTTTGAGAGAATGGAATAGTCGAAGTGGATATAGATACGCTCGCATGATGAGCGAACGATATGGAATGTGTCGATGTGATTACATTTAAGAGAAGAGACAAATACGTCAAGAAAATTAGAATAAGAATAGAATCATATTGAAGTAACAATATTGGATGCAAAAAACAATAACAGAAAAAGAGGGAAGCTAGAGTGAGCAACACACAATTACACACATAACAAGTATAAAGAAAACATTGGTGACGGCTATGCCACCCAGACGCTTCCTTGCTATCAGTACTGATGTCATACATTGAAAACGAACTTTCCTCTTTATTGATGTAGAAATTATTTTATCGATTCTCTTTTTTTATTTTCTACTAATTTAGTAATGATCTGTTTATATGTTTAAACCAGGGTTCTTTAATAGCGGCGGTACCAGAAATTTAGATGTGAGCGGGCTCGATTCAAAGCTCTGAAATATTAATATCAGAAAAAATTAAACTCACTAGGAAATTTCCAAAAAAATCTGAGGGACTCAGCTTTCCTTAGTCCCACCGTGGCGCCACCATTATTCTTTAATAAAATCTCGGCATCTACTCTTTGAACTTGCCCACACATACTTGTATATGCTTATAAATAATCAAGAAAAAAAGCGTATTTACATAAAAGAAAAGAAAAAAATAATTATAATATTCATTCTATAGTCATCTTCATTATGAAATATTTTATCATTAATAAGAGTTGTTTTGCATCATTTGACTTGGTTCTTGTATTTCCATAGCCTGGTGTATCAACATTCTATAAAAAAAAGATCTTAAGTGATTTTCTTACGTGGTGCTCAGCTCAGGTCGAGAAATCCCACACCGAATCCGATAGGAACTTGATAGTATCCTACCATCCGACAAAATCCTATAGGATTCCGGGTCGAGGAATTGACGTCGGAACCACTGGTCGGAACCCATTGAACATCCGATGACATCCAACTTCGAATCCGGAACCCGGAATCCGATGATAGTTCTGTAGGGTCCGACAAAATCCGATAAGATCCTACTGGATGCGAGTCGGGTCGGATGGGTTCCAATTGGTTTCCACTATTGGATTACTCGACCCGGGAGATTCATCAAAATGAATGGAATTATGGCGTGATTTAGGTGGGTAAATGATGACCATACGGTGTAATAACGAGTGTTTACGAGTGTGAATGCAACGTTTTCTATCAATTAATCCTGATATTGATTCACTATTTCATGAATTCCTCTAAATACAAACGAACAGAATTAGAACAAAATTTATTTACAACGAGGCCAGTAGTGTCAAACTTGAAGCTTGAATTCAGTTGAAAATAGAAAACTTCAACTTTCAACTTTCAACTCATAGCGATATATGTATGAGTCACGATTATTCAGAATGCTATTAGTTTAAAAGTTGAAAATTGAAAATTGAAATTTTCAATTGAATTCAAGTTTCAAGTGTGACATATATGTTGTAACGATGGCGAGGACTCTGTTGAGTTTATATCGTATTGACAAACTGGATAGAGGTGGAGTAGCTTACCGCTACTCTAGGTAATGATGTTTATTCGTTTATTCACATATCCAGAGTGTGACGACACAACTAGAGAGTGTCGCCTATGCCCGTCGACATGATGGTATATTGTGTCATCTGACATCTCTAGAGTGTGTGCCAACTTCATACATAACACACGTATATATAGGAGAGAGATAGAAGAGAGACAAGAGAGAGAGATATTACACCAATGGAAAGAGAACAGAAGGAAGAGGAAGGAGAATCATCGAAGCGTGCAATCAATATCGGCACATATGTAGCTAGTCATATTACTACTAGAACTTCGTATACCCTATCGAGTAGTATATTTCGATTAAAGAGATCTGGAATCATACTCCGGAAATTTTGAAAAATCCAAAATATTCTGGTATCCTTTTTTGTAAAATGTGGCCATATTCACTTCGACCAATGTTCGATTCTCGTACCGATGTTCCAAGTGGAACTCGACGAGCTCTATCCAGTGAAATCCATATATTTTCCGAAGCTTGAAATCAGACTTCAGCGCTGATAGAATAATGCGAAAGAAACCTAAAAAATACTACTATGAGCTATGAAAAATCTGCGAACATCATTAAATAGATCTCCTAGATTTATGTTTATATCATGAGTGAAACGCTCATAGCAAGGCCTTTAACGAATATTGGCAACTTTTAATCGAATATGGTGCTAGAACATCATAGAAAAATACAGTATTTTGAGATTTTGTGAACATTATCAGGGAGACGAAAAATCTGATTTTACAATTCGATGGAATTTGTTGAGATCTGTTTGATAAACGAGTGTGAGAGTTGAAATATTTCTTGGAATGAATATCGACAGAGTCGGCAAAAAGAATTCCAGGATTTCTTTGGATTTTTCGAAATTGTAGGAGAACGCTTCGAGATCTAGTTAATTCAAATTACCATTTGATAGAACATATAAAATTTCACTAGGAGCATGCGCATGCGCGTTGGAACATCAGTTCACAAGAGTATCGATAGGTTTTACTCGAATACGATACTAACTTCACTTACGTGTGAAAATCACGATTTTACTCCATCAAAAGTAGCACAATCTTGCTACCACGGAAAAAATTAATGCAAATCGTATTTTTGATCCAAAACACAGAGTTAATGGGCAGAAGAAGTTCTCTTGGATATATATGAATATTACAAGAATAGATATTTATGAATATTACAAGAATAGATATTTATAATACAAACAAAAATCCTAAATCACAATGTGAACTAGAAAATGCTGCCGATGAAGTTTTAAATGGTTTATCATTAAGTGTTATTCAAGCATGTATTAAAAAGACTCAAAAAGTATATAAAGAGTTTGTATCTTCATATTAGATTTTTATTTGTATTATAAATGTCTATTCTTGTAATATTCATATATATATATCCAAAAAAACTTCTTCTGACCATTAACTCTTTGTTTTAGATAAAAAAAAGGTTTTGCATTAGTTTTTTCCGTGGTTGTTATATTCTTTCAAGAAGTTTCGTTTTTCTAAAAATAATCGAGTTGATATGCATTTTGAACACGCAATCAAGAGAAATCCAGTTTCAAATTAGAAATCAACAAAATCATTTCCAAGAAGAGAAAATTGAATAGATTTTAATGAAAGAAAAATCCTATTAGCAGGATTCAAACCTTAAAAAATCGAAGAATCTGGCTAAATCTGTCATCAGAAGTTTAACTTGTTTTTATTATCAATTTTATTAGCTATCACATAGAAATGCTATAATTTTCATCGCTTTTTAAGCCCGCAAAATCATTTAACTAAGATCTTTTATGGGTTTTAAACATGGGGAATATACAGATAGAACATCAAAATAAACCGTAAAACACCCACAGTTCTCTATTGCGGAGAAAAATCCGAAATCCAGTGGTGAATTTCTGAACTACCCAGGAACATTCTCATAAATCAACCCATAAATCGTACACTATAGAGCTTACCTGTGGATATGATTCATTCCAGCTTATATGGTAGAGAAGTCTATCAATCGATCTATTATGAAGACTCTCATAACCTACACAAGCCTGTTATTTCAGGCATATCCCCTGCTTAAAATTCAAATAGTTAATATGAAAAAAAAGCATCGAAACGTCAAGAAATACTGCCTGAACTGACAAATCTTTGCCAATGATGCAGTGTAAGAGTACTGCAAAATCTGGCTAGTATAATGAACAACGATTAAGGTTGATCTCTACCAACACAACAATACTCATATTTATTCCAAGTCAAAAATCTATACTAAATAATAATCTGACAGCTCCTTCATTTTTTGCTTGATTTCTGGTCGTGATTTCTGGCACATCTCCAGGATTCTTCGCAGGCTTTTCTTATCTATCGAGAAGAAGCAGCATAAATCATCTGTTTCCATCCTTAACAGAGCATCTGCGACAAAGCCTATCATTTACGGCTCACTTTCACTGAAAAAAATCCAAAAGCAGCATTTCTGCATCTGAAACGTTATGGGTAAGGCAGAAGACATGCCGTGCCTCAACTTTTAACTAACTATTATTCTAAGTCCACGAGATCATTTATTAACCTCGTCAACTCTTCACATTCACCTATACCAATTTATTTCTGCTCCATTACAGTGCTACTCCGGATCTGAAGTTCGTCAAAAACCAGACTTCAAGCAAAAATCATTTTCTTCGATTTCAGTTGCCTGAATCTGCACCATTGAAGAAATTCTATAGATATTCACTCAAAACAGCAGAATACATAGGTCCCGTATGATCTCTAGAAGCCTTATGTCACAAAGATCCGGAAATCCCACTTGACCTTTCGCAAGAAATTGAACAAAAACATCGCTTTCCCTTACAATCGAGTTAAAATTTGAAGCAGATCTATACTAAAGATATTCCTATATCGAATTTCTGTTGAACGCTGCTGAATAAATCCACTCAATTGAGAAAAAAAAACTTTAAAGGTACTTCTACGATCGGAAAGATCCAATTTCGTGACAAACATTAAGGAGATTTGAGTGATTCTTCTAATTTTTTTAACCGATTTCCATGAGTGCTATTACTTATATTACCCTATATCAATTTTTTTGTATTTTTTATCATGATATTCACTGAAAATCATAAGCAATGATTTTTGACGATTTCCACTTAACCAATTTTCCTGTATATCTTGCATAAATATTCATCATTTAAAGATTTATTATTCTCGATACTATATGATTAATCGTAAATAACACCATAGGCACTTACTGATACCAAATATCATTATCGCAAATTATTACCGCTTTTCCATGAATTATATACGGAAAACATTAATTTTAGCAGGATTTCTTTGATGCTTTTCGTATTTTTCAAATTTCTTATGATCCCCGCCGGTGCAGGATGGAACAGAAATCACCTAATGCGAATCTCTTGATGCTCTCGATCTAATGCTGCTATCCACGATTGTCTACGATGCTTCCTTCGAAAGGTGATTTTATCGGAAATTCTTCAGTGACTTTTTGTATTTTTTTCGATTTCTCATGATTTTTGCTGTTTGATGCACGGAAAATCATAGGAAGTTAGCTTTAGGTGCTCTCGGTAGATTTAGGGTATAGATACTGCTCCGAAAAGATCTGTTGGAAGTATGATTTCTGTGCTTTTTCGGCCTGATTTGGAGTAGGTTTTTTGGCTGCTTGCATTTACCTAGTGTGATTTCTACGGAGATGTAGTAGAATTTATGTCTGAAGTGCGCTCACTATCGATTGGAGGGGTTTATGAATGTATTTTTCTTTTTGTTCAGAATTAAGGCCGTAAACGGTCGGTTACGATGTTGTTATGGTTGTATATGTTGCAGTGCTTGGTCGTTTCCTGTTTATGATACGACCGGATACGGCTTCTAAACAGTCGTTGTGTTCTACCGTATACGACACGGCGATATACGGCCGTAATACGGCGGAATGTATTGATAAATGTCGAAAGTAAAAATGTCGAAAAGTTTGAAGACGGTAAGAGTAAAATCTTAGTAGAGTTAATGTTTTCTTATAGAATATAGATAGAGATAAATTAATCGCCGCTTTCTTTGGAACAAAAATGAACGCTCATAATGATTGGAAGTTAAGCTAATAAATTCTAATTATAAGACTAATTGATCAAAGAAATGGCGAGAGTGTACACAAGGATATCTAGTTTTATAAATACTGTGATATATCATATTTTTAACACTCATTCGCACTCTTATAAAACGCTACATGACTTATTATGGCTAGTGCAATGTCATTTATTACAAGCAATAAAGGGAAACTCTTGTTAGTTCGCGAAAATTACATTTATTTTGTTAGTAAAACTACAACTGCAGTTAAATATTGGAAATGTGAAGATCGTACTTGCAATGCCGGTGTTCATGCAAATATTAGCAATGTATTTATAAAAACAGCTGGTATTCATTCACATTTACAATCACCTGAACAAATTGAAGTTCGTACATTTAAACAAAATATAAAACGTCGAGTTATAAATGAAACAACAGCAATAGCTAAAATTTATGATGAAGAGCTTGCTCAACAACATATGTCACAAACAGCAACTGCTATCATGCCATCATCATATGACGCAATTATATATACATGTTTATATTCGTCTTTTCAGAATTTTCTGAATTGCTAAATTTTTAAATCAATTTCAGATTCAGGTTTAAATCATGCACTTCGAAAAATGACGCCGGTATTACCCAAGTCATATGTATTTGACATACCAACACAATATCAAGTTACACTTAGTGACGAACAGTTTATATTATGTGATAAAACAATACATAATAAACGTTTATTACTATTCGGTACAGATCAACAATTAAAATTTCTATTTTCTGCCAAACATATTATGATGAGTGGAACCTTAGATACTTGTCCACCATATTTTGATCGTGTATACTATTCACGCTGTTAAGCATGAAAAAGGTACGAGAACTTTTCTTATTGAAGTTTTTTCTCATACCAATGATATCAATTCTTAATGCATGCGTTTCTTACTCATTTTTTTATCAAAACTTTCTTTAAGGTTATCCATGTATCATTGGTTTATTATGTGACCGTAAAGGTCGTACTTACAAAGACTTATTTCGTGAATTGAAACTTCATGCTACTCGTTTACAAACTACATTTAATCCAAATACAATAACAAGTGATTTCGAGAAAGCTTTAATCAAAGCTATTGCTGATGAAGTAAGATTCATTACTCAACTACCTAAAGCAGCAGACATGTGCGACTTTTGCAACATTGTTTCAGTTTCCACAAGCACGACATGCAGGCTGTTATTTTCACTTCACACAAGCCGTGTATCGTAACATACAAAAACATGGTCTAACAACTGCTTATCGTGATTGTGAAATTGCAAGAACCTTCTGTCGAAAATTAATGACATTGCCATTATTACAATTATGTGATGTTAAATTAGCATTTGAAGATTAAAAGATAATTCACCTGTTACATTACGAAATATATTTAATTACTTTGAAAATTTTTGGATGATAGACATACCACTTCATCTTTGGAATGTATCTGACCTTCAAGTTCGAACGAATAATAATTGTGAAGGTACTTATACGCGCTTGCTTTCTTTACTAACATTCCTCGTTGAAGGAAAACTCTGAAACGGTTCTAATCTTCGGTTAAATTTTCTTACGTTTATCATTAACATTCTCTCCTTGAATGACTATCATTTACCACAAATAGAAATCCACAGACACATCTATACATCATATCCACACTTGTGGTGAATAAAACAAATATGACCCATTCTGGTGACCAAATAGGGATTTTTGATTTAGGGATTTTTCAATTTAGGGATTTTTTTTATAAAATATCTTGTTCAAGTCACAACCGAACAAGGTCCCAGTTAGGGGTTCATCAATACCAGTATACTGCGTACTGGTAACCAGAATCATCTCTCCGAGTTTCTAACAAGAAGAATTACGTTTCGAAATGATTCGAATGAATATTGAATATGTATGATTCTGGTAACCAGAATCAGCTCTAAGAGTTTCTGATAAACAGAACTACGTTTCGAAATGATTCTGGTAACCAGAATCTGCACTAAGAATTTCTGATAAGCGAAATTACTTTTCGAAATGATTCTAATAGATATCGAATATGTATGATTCTGGTTACCAGAATCACCTTTCGAAACGTAATTCTACTTATCAGAAACTCTTAGAGCTGATTCTGGTTACCAGAATCATACATATTCAATATTCATTCGAATCATTTCGAAA